TCAGAAGTCGACATCATGATCATTTCTCTTTTTTTTCAAAAAGGGAACGTAAACCCAGAGTCTGTGCTTCAAACCGTGACCCAATATAATACGTAGAAGTTCTGAAAAGACTACGAGACGCAATTCGCCGCTGCCGCCCTCGTGAGTGCAAGAGTGGAAACTGACGCCTCCTTCATGACGATGCGCCGAACAGTTCACGCAGCGCTCTCGGTCCAACGATTCCTTGCCGACCACCAGATCGTCGTGCTGAGACACCCTCCTTATTCACCTTATATGGCACCGTGTCACCTCTTTCTTCTCGATATTGAAATCCGCTCAGAAATAAATCGTTTCGGAGACAGTCGTGACATTTAAAAAAATTTGGGAAAACAACCGAAAGACACTCCAGTCAAGACTTCCAAGATTGCTTCCAGAAGCTACACGATCGTTGTATCAACGTTGTATCGATGCAGAAGGAAACGATTCGGAATTGGATCCACATTTGAAGCTCACAGGTACCCTATTTTCATCGTAATAAAAAAGAATCTCGCGAACTTTTTGACTGGACCTTGCCGATCCTCGAGATTTCGGACAACTGGGAAAGGATTCGTTAAGGGCAATAAGCTTAAGACTAAAATGAATACGGCCTGTCGACTCTTTTGAAATCACGGGAAAATTAATATGCGTCGATGAAGGAAGAAGGGTGATGAATGTATGAGGGCTTAAGAGCGAAGAAGTGCCGATTCTTGCAAGAAGGGCTCATGTGGTCCAGAGCGCTGATGAATATCGGAGTTTGTCTCCAGAGAGAAGAAATATGATGAATTTCGAAGTGCCGAGAGAGAAGTTCATAAATATTCCCATGAATAAGATTTGCTTTGGTACTTGTAGCGACATTTTTGGCGTGGGATATGTTATTTATTACAAGTCGTTCACGTGACGATGTGAATGACATAGGAAGTGATACTGTCGATGAACGACTTTATGCGATGGGAAAAGTTGATGTAGACGATAAGAACAGAACGAGGAGATACCAGCTCAATGGTGGTTCCGAGAAGGGTGGGGCGACCGTTTCTCATATGATTCTCATACTGTACAGTTGGTTTGCATTTGAACGCAACGTATGAAATATTCACCCTTCTGTATATGAAACCCGGCGAGTGCCCCGGGGTTCTCCTGATTACATAGCTTTCAAGATCCTCACAATTACCCTGAGGAATCGAGCTCATGAGCCAGCCAAATAGAGTGCTCCGAGTTACTAACACACCTTATTAGCTCATTTGCTTCATGTTTGAGTATCATTGTGCCTATCCTTGTGCCAGGGACATTTACCCACCTTCATGTATTACCTTTCTGCGTTTAAATACGAACGCTGCAAGCATTATTGAGATTTCTCTTTCGCATGCCGGAACTTCCATCGGGCAGATTAGAAGGATTAGGGGTTTCCCTTTATTGGCCTCCCTGTGTATCCTTTACCTTCTCCACATCTCTTTCATTAGCTTAGTAATCTACCCTCTCCCTGGAGCTCCCCCCCCCCCCTCCCCTCCCCTCCCCTCCTCCTTGAATAATGAAGTATCTTCGGAGTTTGAAAGAGTTCTAGGGAAGGAAGAGAGGGGGGGGGGGGGGTTCCGTAGGAAATATGTATTCGTGGGCTTCTTGCGTCTGGTTGCCCATTGTATCGTACATCGTATCGCGATATACTATTGACGTAATGAAGATCAACTTGTTTTCATTAGGATGTAGCGAATAACAAGAGAAAGAAAGAAAGAATACGAAGGATCAACTCGTTAGAAGAAGAACTTGTTAGATTTCGATATCCGCTCAGAGATATAAAGAAACTGAAGATACCCTCTATTCGGAAATCTCTGCTCTTCCCGAAGAGCAGAGATGTCTGAAATGTAGCTCTTTGGGGACGCTTTTTCGTGCTCTCATGCTTCCGGTTCTGAGGGTATTATAGCTTTGACGGGGGAGAAATAGGCAGAGATCGCGCGATCGACGAAAGTTTCCAAGTTCCATCCTTGCACACAAATGTTTAGATCCAGAAAGGAGATAGAATCAGAAGAGAAGGCGTAAGCGAAACGAAGTGAATGAATGCGGGCATGCGAAAGGTCCAGCAGACGAGACGAAATATCTCTTCAGGATCCTCCAAAAGGTACTTTGTCAACGAAGGAGGAATGGGAAGATGTCGAAGATCGGTTCTGAAATGAAGGGAGAAGCAACAGGTTCAGAGGCCGACATCACGAGGGCAGAAAGTGTTCAAAGATTCCACGTCGATAGTCTCCAAGTTGGAACCCTCAGGAATGGCATCGATATCCTTCGGCCTCAAAATAAAATTTCCAGAATCACGAACGAAAAAAGGTAGTACAGAAGCGAAATGGTCAGCTCGTTCAGATATCTTAGGTGAGAAAATCGAAACTAGAGACGATGGATCACCAGAAAAAAAAAGTAAAAATTAAGATAAAAAAGAGAGTACGAGATGACTTGGGAGTCAACAAGGAGATGTAAGGTTTTCCAAGTCAAATATGGAAATAAGAAAGTCAAATGCGACAAGGAAATTGAAATTCGTCGCTGTCCTGGATGTTAGCCCCGAGCATTTTCCCGCGCGGAACATTCTCGTTTAAATATTGGCTGCACAACTTTGAAGGATCTCTTGGAATCCATTGTCAGTGGTTCGTCTGCTTTCTTTCGTATGTCTGCGCCTATTCAAAACTATATTTCGCGCTTCGATCAATATGTATTGAATAAATTATGCAATAATAACAAATTCCAAATGTCCGGAATTCCGGACACCGAGACTGGAGAGGTTAAAGAAAAACATGTTAGACACGAGGTAGGAAATGCGACAGCCATTCATCATGCCCATGTCAAGTGACTGGCTTCTCGTTCCATTTTTGTTTTGCACGGCATTGCTGCAGTTAATCTTATTGGCAACCTTTGATTTCAGATCCAGAAGAATGAAAACTATCGATCGGAAGTATCGCTTTTTCAAGGTCAATAATGATGTCAAATGCGATATGAAAATTTAAATTCGACACTACCCTACGCGGCAGGCAAAAGTGGCACGAAGATATTGAGACAGGCCTGTCGGATGCTGGACTTTCAGCATTTGTATATCTGTCGTAAGGAAGATGGATTGAGCCTGTCCCGTGTCATGAATGCATTGGCTTAGCCGTTTACATCATAATGCCATTCAAATCCACGTATATAGGGATGTATGACTGCGTTCAATAACCATTGGTTATTGATGATGATGACGACAATGACTTCATGTTCTAACTTTGAAAGGACGAACGATACTGGTTCGGGTTCATCCCCAACTCAGTCACTTCGTCTCCGTGGAAATCCCCTTATTCTCTGCCAGCAATTCTTTCACGCGTTCTATCCTGCGACTCTTGAAGCAATCCGATGATCTGATGTATTTGAATTTCCATCCCGCACTTTGCTTTCTCGCGTCCACATTTGACTTGCAGAACCAAAATGTTCCGCTTTTCGAGGGGAACCCCGAAGACCTTTCTCCTAATTTTTTCCTAGTTTGAATCTGGCCTCCCACCCGCAATTCTTGATGGAAACCCATTCCTCGCACTAACCCCGAGGGATCGATGGTGGTCATATAAAATTAATTTCAATAGCAGCGTCACGTGTAAATGCACCTGGAGCAGCGCGTTGGCGAAATGAAACGATTTGGCAGCCCCGCGTCACGGACATGGTATATGCCTGTTGCATTATACTTTCCTTATAAGGATTATAAATTCGCAGGAGTCTGAGGCACCAAGATACTTGGTCGAATGCCTACGCGCCCTAGGAACCTCCACCTCTTGGGCTCATGCAAATTTCTATCCCTGCGTACGTCAAACATGCTTAAAGTCTAACATCCAGCACAGCGACGCATTTCAATTTCCTTGCTGCGTTTCGCGTTCTTATTTCCACATTTGACCTGGAAAACCTATATGATCGACGAAGATGATCCCTCCGAAGGTCCATGCTAGGACACAATAGTCTGAGATGACTCAATGGCAAGTCGTCGTTTTCTCCTTTTCGTCACCAGGAAAGCACATGCAGCCAAAGTGCTCCCAAAACCAAGAGAAAGGCAACTACTATAAATACAAACTTACATCAGCCAATGGCAAAAGAGACGTTTTCTCGCGGCAACGCCCCGTACAAAACCTCCACTTCCCATGTAGATTTAGAATCCGATGGATGTCCCCCTAGGCTTATTTCCACTTCTTGGAGCCTTGTCCACCCGGGGGAAAATCCACCTGGCTCGAAGTACATGTGTGTCGATGGCTGGTTCCAAATCCACCTCCTATCGACCTGGTTGTTCAGCCAGGTGGATGCAGGTAGACGTTTTGTAAGGGATGTCAAAGCATGGGGAAAATTGCTCACAACTTGGTATATACGAGCTGCCTTCGTGGTATGGTGATGAGGGACTTCAGAAAGGAATAACTCGAGGGAGAGTTGGGAAGCTTGCTGCCAGTGATTCGGTTATCACTGCGATTTCAGCAGCAGCTATTTACAGTGGGTAAAGAATATTGGGGCTTTTACCGAAAGCCTCTAATTTTCAGGCTGCTCATTTTCATTGTTAGCATCACTGTATTTCAGGTATAAGTAATTTTCCAGGATTTCCATGGTTTCCTTTTTGAAGTGAGACCATAAGCAAAGTATAACCTTTGCAACTTTTCCAAATATGAGTCTCCCAAGGAATCATACTTTGCAAAACAAAATTAAAATAATTTGACCGCCTATACTAAGCATACTTTTTTTTGAGGGGGGGGGGGGGACGAAGCGATTTCTATTACGAATAATTACGAATATCTTTTGCCAAAAAATTAAGAGAATCAAAGTTGGTCAATGAACGCATTCGTGGGTGAATTGGGATGGAATGACTCATCCACCATCATTCTGAAGGAGTTTAGGGCGCTTGCCTTCTCATCCTTCCCTCATGTAACCTTATAAGATTATATTTTTATGATATGATATTATTATTATTATTAAACATTAATGTATTATAATTTGGATGCGTACAGGTAGGAGCAAAGGATGCCCACGAGTGCAGCCCTTCCGATGCCCAGAAGGGGGGCAATGCATTGCCATCCAATATCTTTGTGATGGAGCTCCGGATTGCCCCGATGCATACGACGAAGATCCCCGTCTTTGTACCGCCGGTGAGTCCTCTTTCCGAAACGAATGTCAATACCTTCCCAGATTTCCACTCGTATCTCGGGATTCAATTGGATCGAGATTCACAGGCGAAGAAAATAGCGATGTTCCTGAAAGGAAAAAATTTCATCAGCAGAGCGAATCTATGAATCGACCTGCGCGCCAGAGCTGTTCCCTGGGAAATTTTATTTCCGCCGAAAAAGAGCACGAAGGGAGTAAGGAGAGAAAGAGAGAGAGGGAGAGGCGGAAAGGAGGGAGGCTGATTGTCTGGTTAGTTCCCTGGAGACAATTATCCTAATGTCCGCCCTGCTTCACGCTCCGTTGGCCTTACAGACAACGTCCTCCTCTGTAGTCCTGACGTAGTGCTGCATTCATAGGAGGATTTTTAGGGCAAGGGGAAAAACCCCGGGGACAAGTGGGTGTAGCCCTTCCTTCATCTGCTCAGTTGGTCTCCACTCTCTCCCCCACCCGCTTTCTGTCTCAGATGTTTTTGTCGCTCTTGAGAGTTCGGTCACGCACCTTTTCCAACAGATTTTTATTTTTTTTTTTGCGGCAATCCTGTTCTACCTACGCTGGGCTCTTGCGACAATCCTCGTATCTTCACCCTGTCCTTTTGCGACAGCCCCACAATCCTGTCGCGACAAATCACTGTAGTTGAGATTCTTATTCAGTTCAGTTTACGTCACGATGTCACGTTCTTCACAAGAGAAGAATTGAGCGGCAGATCCACACCTGTCAAGAGACATCACAAATACGTTACTTGGCACAGATAATGAATGAATTAAATCATGAATTAAACTCAGACCATCTTTACAACCTTGAACCGATGAGACTCAGGATATGTATTCTCATCGTATCATTTCTTTCTTTTTTTAAATACCTTTCTGAGTACTTGGAGCTGTCGTCGCCGAGTTCTGCCTACGACGGCAGGAGCACAACCTAATGGTGCACTTCGCATTTTCATGTAGGTCCGTACCTAGAATAATTTCAGCGCCTAAACAAACGAAAAAATTTTTGGATGCGCTAACTCGACCGTTCTCGACTGCCGAACTGCCGAGTCGCGGCAGAACGACCGGGGGAGAAGAATGTAATGACGTTATCGCGTCGAGTGTCGCAAAAGGTCGCGGGAAGACGGGGGAGGGGATTCGTATCTGATTTATGCGGAAAAGGGACGAGGCCTAGAGTTCATGCCGGACTAACAATAATGGAAGGTTGCATGATGAGCAGCAATCTTCGCCAGGGACGCATTGATCCGAGCTCGGCAAACTGCTCTCCCGACGAACCATCGCGTGCGAACCTCCTCCACACACAGAACGCAACTATGTACTTGAGTTTCGAAGGTACACCCGACGCAGACAAGCAGGTGAAGCATGCTCTTCGACTGGGTGCATCATCCACGCGACTGCACACTTAACTATTCGGCGTCTGCAGCATTGTGCAGATCCAAAAAGGTGAAAACTCGTAATGATGGAGATTCGGAATTAGAAGGTATTATCTCAAAAATGTGAAATTTACATATATATTGCAAAATAGAAATTCTTCTATGCAACGTAATGCAATCGCAACTTTAATGGCATTTGCCTTGGCGTCTGATTAGAGACCAGCCATCGCGAATTTCGATCACGCCACGTGAAAGAGCATCTTCGAAATATAATTTCGTTTGCATAGGCCTTCAAAGAAAAGTTTAAAAAGTAACAAAAAAAATATTCTCGAAAAAATAAATCTAACCCCTTGCTTTTCTTGAATCTTTCCATTTAGCTTTTCGAAAAGAANGGGGGGGGGGGGGGGGGGGGGGGGGGGGGGGAAGAGGGCGTCATAAAAAAAGATGATCGGGATCATGAAGACACAGGGATGCTTCTATGGAAACCATGCATCTATTAATCATGGCCTGGCAGATAATGGCGGCGCGCTTCCTTGAACATGGTCGCATAATGCATCTCCCTAGTTGAAACATTTAGGAGCCGGAGACAGGCGCATTTATAAAATCCATGACGGCAAAGATCGCTCATTCTCGAGCTCTTTCTTCCACTCTTCCACTTTCTTTTCTCGGCATAGAAGAGGCTTCTGCCGCTTCTCTCCTCGTTTAATCCTCGCCCCCCGCGGGCAACTCCTTTGCCTCTCGCGATTCTTTGCCGAAGGAATACGGCAGACATTTCGAGGGTGTTGATTTAGTTCGAGGCAAGATGAGAATTTCTCAGGTCGAGGGAGGATCGAATGTTGTCGCCACGTCCTCGAATCCCCTGGCGCTCCTCTGAATCGACGTCGATGTCGTCACTGTCATAGAAGAGATGAGGGGGGAAGTGCGTCGGATCCGAGCGAGAGAGTTCGAAGGAGATTTTTTTCCTCTTCCTCGGGGGTGGGCGTTGATGAATGCGATGCCAGCCGGACTCCTGCCGAGAGCGGCCTTTTCGTTTCTTTTTTTTTATCTTTCCCCCTCTCTCTTGAGACGCTTTCGCCCTAATCGGGGTAGAAGAAAATCCTGTTTCGTCTGGTCTTTCCCATCCTCGGAGATGCTACCCGGAGATGGAACGATAGTAGAAGCATGGGAAGGGGGATAGAGAACAGAGAGAAAAAGGAAACAGGAAATGGGAAAAGAAAAAACAGAGACGCCCGAGAATCGAACCACCTGCTGTCAGGTGGTTCGGTTCTGCAAATCACCTTTCAAATGGATTTTCCCTTTTTTCACCCCTCACAGCCCTCCTCATTTATTGCTGTCAAATTGCTCTTGCAATTAAATGTCTTGTCTATGAATTTAATGCACGATAAAAGAATCTACGGGGTGCTCATGAAGTCCCTTGGGCCTTTCACTCGGTGATGATTGTGAAAGTAAATATGATAACTGCATTTCTTGAATTGGAATTTATTAAGAAAAGATACAAGTTTAGGGATCCGCTGTTTTGATCCTTAAATCCTTTCAGACTCAGCAACGAAACAAAAGAGATGGGAAGCTGGCATCCCTTAATACTTTAGCCCCCATGTGAATCTCTTTTGACTTACATGGTGTGCCAGGAAATACTGCAAAAAAAGGTCCATCAGCGAAAAGACTAAACTTGAAGAAGACTGATTCCGTTGGGCCAGATGCAGCCTCCTGCCGATATGGATTTCATATCCGCTAGAACCTACATTCAATACCTAAATGGTCCTGTTTTTGCGCTTTCCAAGTAGGACGAATGTATATCGAAAACGGAACCTTTCACCTTTGGCAGCCTCTCATTCCCACTTCGTATGATGCAGAAACATGCCATTTTTCAGTCTCTGCGGGGGATCATTTCTCTTCTCAACAAGAGATGATCTCGAAATACAGAGCCCCCGTTGAGTAATGACCCATGAACAAAAGTAGACCCTGGGGTATACGCTTCCCCTGGGTAATGAAGTAAATCTATATCTCCCTTATATTCCCTATGGAGACACAAAGTGTAAAATTCATGCACGCTGCATGCAGCTCTGTCGTAGTTCCCAGGTGACATCAATATCGGTGCAGTACTTACCGTTTTGGAGATTCTGAGATAGTGCGAAGCCAAATAGTCGAGGTAGTCCTCGATTTATTAAGAAGAAAAACACTGCTTAAAAAATTACTTGATAGAGTACGAGAAAAACCAAGTTTGCTTGTGCAGTCCCCTTTTATTTCAGCGTCTTCGTACTTTTTTTTTGTCTTCATAGACGTATCTCTCCGTTTCCCAGACTTCAGGTCTGTTGTCTTCATACAAAGCAACGAAAGGCAATGGATTGGATGGCTTTAACAAAGACATCCAATCCGTTGCCAATCGGTTTAAAAGCGTCGAAGGTGGACACTCGATAATATGATGATATGGTAATAATACTGCTATAAATATAATATTTTTTTATGTGAAAAGCATGACAGATATTGCCTACCTAGGCTTTGGCAAATGACACACTTAGAGAAAAAGACAAGGCATATTGAGGCAGGGTCAAGTTGTTTCTAGCGAGATATTACAGGGTCGTGCAAAAGTTCCCGTACACTTTGAAAATCTAATTTTTTCACTAATCAGCGGATTTTTGGCGATTCTGATGTGTTTTTTTTTATTTTACGGACATTTTTGATACGAAATGTTTTCATTATAATAAATTTCAGTCTTTATTTGAATTTTTTTCTCTGGAGCTATGACGCCTAAAGAGAATCGAAGCGCCAATCGAAGTGTACGGGAACTTTTGCACAACACTGTATACATGCCTTCATTATATGAGGTTAATATAGGTCATATACAGTATATGAGGCCAATGTTGTGTGCAGAAGGGCACACGCTCACCCCTGGGCCTGGAGTGGCTTAATAACCCTCCTGTCATGCACTCATGCCTGATGGGACTCATCGCATCCACTTATCCGTTAATCACATATTAACTTTGTAGCTCGAACCTTCCTACGCTCGTGTTAATATTGTAAAAGCAACAGGGAAAAAAAAGTATCCATGTACTCGTATTAGATTTGGATTTTGAGCTCTGGAGTTATATGAGCATTCGAGTCCCCTCAGACTGGACAAATATCGAACTTCTTAAACGTACGAATCATTATCTCGAAAAATGAAAAATGTGAAGATTTGAGAAGACTCATCCGACCTCGGCCTCGTGAAACAGTATTAGGGTCGGCTTCTAACGCGCTGCAATCACGGCAGACGATTCCACGGGTCGTTTCTAATAGAGATGTCACTTCGTGCATCTGCGGAAGAGTCCGAGACCGAACCTCTCAATCATTTTTAATTTCATTTCCTTTACTGGAATGATATTGCTTCGACAACCCGAGTCGCCCAACGTTATAATATGTTCTAATATAATGTAACATCGTTGAGAACCCCTGAACTTCGGGAGAGAAAAAGGGATGGGAGAAGTTGCAGAAACAACAAAACAGGAATGCCGATGCTACAATTCAAGAACATAGCCGCAGTTATTACAGAATTTAATTACACAGGTTGATTTTCTGGTGTGAAGAGATCGGAGTGCGTCTTTCGGGTTATATTCTATGTTCGATCGTGCATTACATTCCGCACTACACCTCGTGGAGGCATAAAAACTACTACATGTACTGGAGAAACGTCACGTTCATTCCTCAACTTCTGTTCAGGTTCATTTCTTCCACTTTCCTTCATGCCGTCACGTGAGGTATTCTACGATATTCCTCTTCGTGTCGGATAGTTTAGGGGAATCATAACCCCAAGTGACAAGGGCTTTTTTTTCCCCCTCTCAGACATCTCCAGAACAGAAGGAAGAAGAGTTATGAGACATGAAGTGATTCGTAGTAGAGGGTAGCCTTCAATGCAACACAGTTCACCGCTTTCGGCCTGTTTGCTGAAATGACACTTCAGAAGTTTGCTTTGTAAAGACAACATGGAAACGAAGCCAACTATGGGCTCAAGAGTCCGGTCAGGGAATCCTTTTATGCTGATTGCATAATTGATAATGATTGATTGGATGTCGCATCTGTCCAGACGAGTACATGTGAATAATCACCTCTCCTCTTCTCTCCGCCAAATTTTATGAAGATCCGTTGACTGCTTTTTGACATAATCTACGGCAACATTCATGCTAGTGATGATTTGTTTCCATCCATACATCAATTTTATGCCGGTGGCAAAAACCGAGCTTAGGGGAAAGGAAGGGAATATCGTGCATAATGCATGCGTGCTGATTGCATCTCATATTTTGCTTTTGAACTGCACAAAACTTAGGAGAATGGTTTTAGAGAGACTGATGTTTCCAAGACCGATGTGCCCTACGTGAGAAAGTTTCGAGAGGAGGAAGAAAATTAGGTAGCTCGTTGCTGGAAATTGAAAATGAAAAAGAGAAAAATGATAAGACCGTAGGTAGTACAGTCACGACGAAGATGGGGAGGATGTGCGCGGGAAATACCATGATTTTTTAATGCCAAAGGGAGCGTGCCTGAAATCTATTAGCGCATAGATGGATGGAGCTCCTACCAGGAGTGGAGAGACGGTGAGCTTCTTGATTTCCATTACATGTTTTATTACTCTCTTCCCTTTGGATGTCCGACATAGTTGCCAAGAGGTAAAATAAAAATTCTATTTCCGAATTTCAAGAATTAAGTTTATCAGTGTCTGGGAACGAAAATATACGCTTGGGGATGATCGACTTAACGGTACCTTCAAAAGTGTATCTTGTTCGACTTAGACGTTATCCTATCATTATCCATGGGAATCGCATATCCTGGGATTAGTGGAAACAGTGAGTCTCACCTTCCTCCTGTTGCTTGAAGCGCATCCGGACAACCCTGTGAATTCCAGGGCCCTTCGGGATAGTCCAAGCCCATTCGTAGATCTTTCGTAGATTCGTAGTTAGTGTCTGGCAGTTGAGCCAGGCTGTTCTGAGAAATGGGAATCACATCTCCATAATTAATGACCCGAATGACCTATCCTCAGAATACGCTCTTCCAATGAATGTATCCGAAACATTGCCATCGAGGATATCGATCCGCTGGAGTATGTTTGGGGTCATTTGCCGTTACAAAGTAGGACGGAATAATTTTCTGGGCTTGATCGTCCTTAGGTTCGGAGTGATTAATTAGAATTCAATGACTGTTACGCCCTTGTCCAGCCCATGCCGTGCAAAAGGCCGTTCTTATTCCCGAATGTACTTTCTAAGGGTAGGGTAAGGGTAGGGTGAATCGGCCAACATCGCAGCAACATGAGTATTTTCATGTAGTCTGTCCCTGGAGGACCATTGCCTTCGTTGCTGACGTCCAACCTCGATGTTTCATCGATCCGTCGGGGAAAGCCTCTTTTTTAAGTTTTCTTTCTCCCTCCTCCCTCGATCTGCGTGTCCTTTCCACGGGAACTTGATTCAATCCTCCAGAGGCGAGATTCGTTTGCATGGCAAATTATCTCCAACGCTTCATTCAAACTTTCCCTCGAGGGAGGGCTCTCTCATCCTATGGACCTTATTTTCTTGTTTTTTTTTTTTTTGTTTCCAGCAAGGCGACCCCCAGTGGAGGAGACGGTGAGCTTTCTTCAGAGTCTCTTGGCGAGCCATGGACCGAACTATTTGGAGAAGCTTTTTGGTCCGAAGGCCCGAGATGCTCTCATGCCCCTCGGAGGTGTCCAAAATGTCGCCATCGCACTCTCAGGTAATCCACTCCACTCACTCTCTAGCCCTGATTGCCTTTCCTGAAGCTCCGACTGATTTCTTGCCGGAGAGGAGAATCGTTAATTACTTCTGGCGATCATCTCGTATATTCCTCGGTAATCTGGTCGGTTTGTCTGTGCTCAAAGGACTGCCCTTTCTCATTAGACCTGTGAGAGGAAATCCATCTCTCATTCTCCGGAATTATCTCCTCGAAAAGCGAGGTTTCCCCTCATGATCGTAGTATCTAACTCATTCTCATGATTGTTGAGGAAGACCCACGAACCTGCATACCTTTAAATGCGAGTCTGGGTTTCCCTCATATAATGGGTTCCATCGAGCGAGGGGGGAAATGTTGTCCAGACTGTCTTATGTAAGACCCTTTTTCAAGGTTGTGCTGGGAAAAGATTCACGTGGGGTGATGTATTATTCACGATGATGTGAGCAGCTCGAGGAGGGAGAAAATGAAGGACTCGTTAGTGACTCAGGTGAAGAACGAGGAAAAGGGGAGAAAGAAGGAACAGAAGAGGGGGAACCTCTTCAGGAGGAAACACGATTTCTAAGAAGGTCTCTCTGGGAAGCAAAAACGAGTTTTTCTTCCTTTCCTTTCCATATGGTGCGAGGCGTATCCACCAACGAGGTCCCACTCGGCGAGTCCCCGCTAGGGTCACTTGCTCGGTCCCTTGCTGCATCCACCCCTCGCTAGCACTCGCTACGAGTTTGAAAGATTTCCAACTCTAGGCGAGTGCTCGATAGACAGGGTGGCACTCCCCTTCTCCTTTCACGTCTGTTGAGGCAGGAAACGAATCCGCTTCGAATGAGTTCATGATACGCCAGGCAGACTCAGCTGGATTTCCAAGTCACTCTCGTCCTCATAGGGCGGGCACTGTGTATGAATGCATATATATATATATATATATATATAGTGAAAAGGAAATACCAAAGGTGCCTGTCCCACCCGAACCAATCTAGGCAATGGGGGAATCCATCCCACTACAATGAAAAATTCCTTAGATACGAAGCATCCTGTTTTATGCCCATTGCATGGGCTGGCGTACGCAGATGAGTCCACTTCGGTACTTGAATAATAATAATAATAATAATAAGAATACATATTAAAGCCCGCCTGCATAGGGGGGAGTAGATCTCCATCGGGAATACGTTCCCATGGTTACAATCCTATCCAGACCGTTTCTGCCGTTAGGCGCTGAAGCTATGAATTTAAATGAGTGGAAGGTAGTACCCAGATTTTCAGATATATATATATATATATATATACATACTGTATATACTTAGCGGTGAAAATATCACGTGGAAGAGATGCATACGACTGGTGTGAACAATGCTTTTGAAACGAGCAGCTTAAGGGTGAATTTTTGAACACAGCACTATCCGATAATGTAGCTTTATTTCAGAGAAAATGCATTATAAATCCGGGTAATAAAGCTGCTTTGTCGGATAGTGCTCTGTTCAAAAATCCACCCTTAAGCTGCTCACAACTGTTTAGAGCCACACCTGAGAGGTGTAACCGCATCTATGAGACTGGCTTCATATTAGGGAATGCATACATGAAAACAGCGAAAGGACTCTCAGCATAACCTATGATAGAGGCGTCATTCGAAGTTGGGGAGCCATCACAGATCCCAATATACGGTAGTAGATCCGATGTGGTGGCGTCTACTTCGCATGCTAATCCCGTCCGTCCTCTTGTGTTTGAGGCAAAGTTGGCTTAACGAAGGTCCAGAGAAACTAGACATGAACATTATCGTTCAGATGGAAGGTATGATGTAAGACCTCATCACGAGGAATGCCAAACACTAAGAGGAAAAGGAATGGGAAAGCGTCATGCGTCTGACTCCTAAGAACTCCACGATTCATTCCCTTTTGAAAGACTCGTTGGACGCGATCCGCTACTTCCCGCGAGCAGTTCTCATCCCTGCACATTTTCGACACCTGTGCGCAGCCACTCGATGAACTTGAATTTCCGAACCTGAAAAAACAGCTGTCCGTTTTTTTTTTATAGTAGCAAGAACTCGCCAAATGTAACACCATGTTCACCCACTTGCTGGCGAATGTTCGCCAAGCATGCACTGCCTGAACAGCGGAAAAGCGCTTGCGAGAAGCTAAAGAGTTCGACGGGATGTTTCCGACGAAGAATGACGATTAATATCCCCCGAAGAAGCTCATTCGTTTTGATGAAAAATTCGAAGATCGAGATGGAGGAAGTTTCCTCCTCGGGTAATTGCCCCTGCTAGCTCTGATGAACAAGGAGTCTCATCTTTCAAAAGATTCATTCAAAGATTCGGTTCGACTGAACATCTCTGCTTGGGCTCGGGAAGGCTCGGGAAAATGCCATTCGTGAAGATCTGTCGAAATTTTCTCTCAATTTCTTGGTTTTACTGGGTTTTTACTAACCGGCGTTCGTAAGTTCTCCGAATGGCATCCCTCGCTTTTATTTCAAGCTTTTCCAAGCTTTTTGAGTTTTCACGTTTCCTGCTCCTCACTCTTCTCCTTCCCTAGATCTTCAGTTCGCTTCGCAAGTAGGACTCTATGTGAACCCTGTTATTCCGTCAGCATCCATCCGGCGTGGGTTCTATATTTAATTATACTAATGTAAGAAACGAAGCTTGAATGGAAACTCCATTTCCTCTTTTTTGTCTGAAACGGTTTCCCCAGGGAATCCGTGACCTAGGCAATTTCCCCCGAGAACTGGGATCCTTTCCTTGCCTTTCTTCTTATTTAAATCTAGACTTCGTCTAAATTCGAATTAAATTTGACTCTAAGACAAAATCCAAATCTGAACTAAGCCGTACATTTATGGGAAGCAAAGTTAGCTTCCTTTATTGACTGCCATTATCTACATATATAATACGCACATATCACGCTTATTCCCAGAGAACTGTACGTGACAGAGAGGTTAGCCATGTGTCAATCGATTCTGCGAGAAGTGGTGGTTTGCCAAAAAAAGGAAAATCGTCAAAATGTTTTTTGTATTTATAAAAATGTATTTAAATACCTGTAAATGCCGAAAAATGCTCTAAAACTTGCCGAATGTCGTAGAATTCAGTATTATACGACGAGTTAAAACACAGTAGGTGAACCGAAGCTTCGTGAAAAATACTCAAATGAAGAATAAACATGGAATCCGACCCTTTATATGTGCCTACCCTTCTTATCATTCTATTCCATGTCTCGAGCTGGATTCCCGGTCCAAATGTGCTAAATATCTAAATTGCCCATGATATTCGTGGGCCTTCCTACTAGTAGTATACCCGGTTTTCGTATTTAAACGCAACATAGGGAATATTTTGCCGCCTGTAGGTGGAGTTCTTCCAACGCTAAAAGGCCCACTGGGTTGCATATCTGCAAGGAAACATACCAGGGATAGATTTCATCCTTCCAGACTTGCAACCCGATGGCCTATAAGGCACGCCCCGAACTCCACAAACAGGCGGCAAAAACTTCTCTATGTTGCGTTTAAATACGAACACCCTGTATGAAGATAATGATTTAGCAAAGAAACACGGTCATGTCGTTTGAACAAAATTGATATTAAATTAATATAAAAGCAATGTGGCAATAGCAAAAGCCTTGCCCAAGCCAAACATGAGACTCGTGCCAAAACTTCCTCGAAAATGGGGATTTTTTTTTAGCCTGCGCTGACTCATCTGACCCATAAGTACTGTATAGCATTTTGAGATGAAAGGAAAAACTAATGAGTGCTTGCATTCTGCTGGGAATCTGCTGCAATCCTGAGGTAAGTGATGCCGGAGCTGCACGAGTGATTCGACCATCTAACTGGCCATCGCCTCCCAATTAGAGAGTTTGCTAGATCAGGACGAGAACGGGAGTGAGTGAGGGTTCGAGAAAGGGGAAAGCCTTTCAAATTGGTTTTCATATTTCGTAACAGTCTTAGAATAAGGCTTGATGGCCAAAACTTCTGAAAGCAAGTGCGCATTGTGTTCGGAAGGGAATCAGAAACCATCCGTGATCAAATAAAATAGAAGTAAGCGGATTCAGCCGATGACGATCTTCGTAACGCTAAGGATGAAGAGCATCTGCAACACCTACAACCGAATAAACTCATTCGATAATCGAAATCTTTAAGGGACTCGTCCAGTAATTCAACCATTATTCGGCTCAAAAATCGCCTCAATCATCGACCTTTTGCGGTCGACTGTCGGGCGTGACCCGAAAATGTCCATAACGTTGCGAGAAAAACGGAGTGTAAAGGGTTAAAGTCATCGATCGAGTTCTTACGACGAAACTCACTGAAAAGAAAATGCAAAAACGCCAAACGACGCGGAAAAGAAATTCCAGGAAGACGTACGATCCGTCTTTGAGGACGGGGTCGAGGCCGAGTCCATGGAGTCCTTCGGCCCAGACGATCCAGACGGAGTACGGACGATCATTTGTGGCGCGGTTCGTGACGCATTTCGGTCCTCGGATCCTTTTCCGTCTCGGGAACGAGATTCCGCAAACTCTCTCAATTTTCGTCCGAAATTCGATTCATTCGGGGTGGTTCCACTCTGTGAGAACGATAGAGTTCTTGGAAGAAAAAAAATAGGGAGGCGAAAGCCAGTTTAGTCGGTGGATGACTCTCGCTGCTCCAGCATCCTTCGGTTCGGTCAAATTTGTCCCGTCGAATACTTCAATGCTTTGTACTCGCCAGTTCTTCCTTTCATCTCACCATTTTAGACCATAAGCGAAAAGTGGGCGGAAAATGTGATGGCAGGGGGGGGGGGGGAACGGAACTCTGGAGTACTGTTATAATGAACTTCATGGGACTTTTTTTTTGGCTTCTTAAAAAGTTGGAGGCTCATGCCCCCTCCCCCCCCCCCCCCCCCCCCCCCCCCCCCCCCCNGCCCCCCCCCCCCCCCCCCCCCCCCCCCCCCCGCCCCGACGCTACGCCAGTGTCTTAGACAGTGCCAAGATAGGATCAGAATCACCAAAATATATTCCTCCTTTTAGACAAGTAAGAGTCCGAAACTCTGCTTTGGCGAG